TCACAGCTCACCACCAAGCCTCCACCCTACTGCACCATTACAAACTTTACCTGCTCATAAGTTGCTTGTGAAATGCAGGTTGCAGTTTTGCTATCTATATTTGTAAATAACCTTATAGACTCTGTTGTAAATATGATGTTCTGTTACGTCTGCGATGAGAAAAGTTGGAGACTTATAGACTCTATCGATCTACCTGGGTCTCCATTCAAAGTTTCCTGGTAAGTTGGCGGACTCCCCGGTGAGCAAAGTGAAGCTGCCCTCCCGCCCACTTTGACGCCGTCTTTGGCTCACTCTTGGTTTTTCTTTTCGACGCTGTATCGGTTAGCGCTGCATCCCAAACGCAGAATAATGTTCTGTGTTGTGACCACGGATAGCTCTTCCCTAATAAGCAGTACATGTCTCTTTACGAGCACATTTTGTAGGTCTTATCATGCTCTGGTCCCACTTTCTTGTATTCATTTTTCGACTTGCCAAAAACCAACCTTAGGTTTCACCTGAGATAAGTACAAATCAAGACGTCATCATCGCTGAACAGAACGCAATTTACTGTACCACTTTTTGAATGTGTGCCATGATTTTCCCTGAAATTTGTTCTAACAGATGAACTTGACTAACTTGACTAGAATCCAGGGTCTGCAGGCGGTCGTGCAAAAAACTTGTCTTGGGCAATGTTCATATTTTGCGGCAGCGCCCACCAGCGACCATCAGCGTTTCGAGCGTCCGTCAGAAGCGAATGGGAAATTATAGTTAGTGATCTAGCGTCTACCAACGTCTACCAGCGTCCACCAGCGTCTGCCAGCGACTATCTGTCTCGAGGGACTAGGAAAGTATGCATATTGATCTAGTTAGGTCTACGAGCGTCCACCAGGGACCAGGAGTAGAGAGTCTAGGGAACAGGAGGGTATCAGACTGCTGGTAGAGTATGAGGAAGTAGAAGGGAGGAGACAGCTGGATTAGGCGTCGTGAAATTGTGCGTGTGCAGCCGCACAGTACTACTACTACACAATACCGTACTCCGGTCGCTGGTGGACGGTGGTGGACGCTGGTATACGGTGCCGTTAGCTAGACCGATATCTATACTTTCCTAGTCGCTGACGCTGACGGACGCTCGAAACACTGATGGTCGCTTGTGGTCGCTGCCGCAAAGTATGAAAGCAGCCTTGATGTTCGGGGTTTTGAAAAAAATGCAGTGAATAATAGTTCAAGCTGATTTCTCCTATATTATGTACGTTTTTCAAGGAGTAATGTGCACAGTCGGTCTACGTGGTGAGCCATCAGTGGACAGGAACAATCAGCTGATTCGGTGTACTCGATCTGATGACTGCTCCCAAGGGCAGATGTGTGATCCGAATACGCATGTCTGTTGCAAGGGCACGAATAGTGAGTGATTATGAAGTACCTGCAACTTCCCTGCTGGTTCCAGATAGCTGCTTGAGCAACCTAGTTGAAGACAACTCTTGAGTCTCATGCACAGTGGTGCTCAGTCATAAACCTGCAATCGCTAAGTTGATCCCCACTCTCGAAAACCGGTTCCTCGGCTGGGGATCCTCAACGCCGTGACCTGCCTGGAACGCACCCACTTCGAAATGGCTGTGACTGATTCCAGCGCGAAAACACGAAAACATTCGGAAAACTAACCAACTGAAATCCTCCGTATCAGACATAGAATATCCCAACCCTCTTTCATCCATTTTCTCGTGAATTAGAATCTGAACTGAGCGGGAGCAACCATACCGGGGCGAAAAAACCTGAGGCCCTCGGTACACATGGAAGCTTGTTAATTAACTGTGGAAGCTAAGGAGTATGCCCGGAAAGCGGCAACGTGCAAGCAGTCGCATCCAGAATATTTAAAAGAAGAAAAGCC